AGCTTTCTGTCCTTGAACTACTTTGTTTGAGAACCAGACACATTTAATCTTAAAATCATACTAATTCATCAAAAGCACTTTTATCTCCATCTTTCATTTAAAATGTCAGCAAAAATTAATTGTTTGTTCCAACCAGATTCTACAAGAAAACAAAAAAATCTGCACTCCTTACTGCAGCCATGATTCCATCAGCAACCCACAAATACGTGACAAAAATTATAGGACTTTGATATGTATAATATGTGGAGTTGTCATTTTATTTGCATTATTGGTGCCACCAGTTGGAAACATGCTGTACATGTTGATTCCAGGTATTTTCAACACATGTGAAAAGTTTCACAGACTGAAGTTGAGTTGTTTTATGGCATGCACTTGTTACATCATGCTGTACTAATAATCACTGGTAGTATGATGCTGAGTTCAGACATGTCACTTAGTCTTAGCAGGAAGCCACTCTGTGCACTGACATGGTGAGCTATACAGTCAACCAGTTAGCAGAAGTCAGCATTTATTTCCTACGTGGCTGAGGACCCAGTCAGCACGTGGGTGGTCAACAAACTGGTCAAGAAGTTTGCCTTTTTGTGGTTACTGGCAGCCGCAGGGATTACTTCCTTGTTTCACTGTTAATGTGATTTTGAAGCATGGACAATTGTTCCAAGTATTTCCTCATTCTGTGCAACTTTTGTCTAAAAGCCCTTGGGCAGAAGTAACACAAAGACAATGCTTTGAGTGCAGTTGCACCCAGTCGCCGGGGTCAATGAGGTAACATGATTAGACGCAGGACAATAATAAAGGATATGCAACACAAAATCACTCAAGAACAGATAGAATGTAAAACTATGTACCTTAAAGGTCTTTAAAAGTCTTAAGATAATAAAAATCTCACGTGCCCATTGACTCTTCCTTTGAATTGTCAGCTCATAAGACTGCAGAGTTCAGTTGGTTCAGTTGGTTCATTTTACCATGACTGGTTTTAGTCCTCTTCTAACAGGCTGCTTCAGTGTCTGTAGCGTAAAAGCAGCTGAGCTTCTGCTGCCAACGTCAGGAAGCAGGTTCTCTCTGTGTCTGTAATTGACAGTATAGAGGTAAACATCAGTCAACACTGATGTGAATAAGATGTGTAGGACCAGGACTTTCTGTTGTTCTAACTTTCTCTCTGAGCGATCATTTAACATGGAAATATCACAGAATTGGGAATTCAGCTGCACTGACATACAGTGTATGTGAGCACAGTGCGCAGGAAGGAAGACAAAAGATGTAAAAACTGGTAGAGTTTACTTCTCACTGAAGCAGGGATGGTAGACGTAATTGCAATGTAAAGTAAAGAACTGGTTTGCTGCCTTTTTCCTAAATTGTTCTACGTTTTAGCATATCACTTCATGAACATTTTAATAAACCCATTGTGTTTTCCTTTGTTTTTACTCCATGCTAAAACACTGTGTAACATTAGCACAAGTATAGATGAGTACATATGTGTAGGTTTGTAATATAGAATAGGTGTGTGTATATATATATATATATATATAGAGAGAGAGTATATGTAAAGGTTGCAAACCTGAGCTAACTTTAGACACCATTAACTACCAGACCAAAGCAGACTTTAGCAACAAACGCTCCGTGTACTTTAATTTGCATTTACACCTCATCTATAAGAGGAAAAGTTATGTTTAAAGTGTACATAGTCCCACTTATTTTGTGCTATCTGTAGCTGTGTGGGCTCTCTACATGCAGTATGTGCACACTAAAGGTAATTTTTTTCCTCCTTTTAGTTATTCATCACTTGCTAAAGATCAGCCCCATCATTGATACAAAACCGAATTAGTGATTTAAGAGGCAGCTGGCCTCCAGCAGTCGGTCTCCTGGGAGATCCTCGGTCCTGTCTGTGGTTGTGTCTGGTGCTGTATGTAAAATGTTTGGACCAATTGCAAGTGAGGCCACTTTCACTGTGGCTGCACCTGTTGCTGCAACATGGGTCCTGTTTGTTTACTTATCCTGCGACCGTTACTGCAAGCCTCATGCTTCACTACACAAGAAACAGCAGCTGTGTCAATGAGATTGTTTTGAAGTCCAGTAGGAGGAGTCACCGCATGCTGCTGCACTGTGGCCTGAGGATATTGATCACAGACGCTTCACAGACTAGTGGGGTACATTGGTAAGATGGTGGATGATGTTCCAGCATGTATCTGAGCTGGGCATGAGCAGGTGGACTCACAGCAGCTCTGTAGAGAGACAACTGCTCTCTGCTGCCATGCTTTTACAACATGCTTCCTAATGGGGCATTTCTAAGGGCAAACTGAAAATAGGTTTACTCAGAAGTCAGCCCTTCAACATGTCAGGCGCTGACCTAGTACCTATGTCACGTTTAACCTCACATATTCTTCATTGTAGCACAGGTTTGCATCAGATGCTGTTTTGCAAGATATCTTGTCCCAAAGTAGATCGATCAGTCGATTAGTCGTCAACTATTAAATGAATCACCAACCATTTTAATCAGTTTGAGTAATTTTTTAAGAAAAAATCCCTGATTCCAGCTTCTTAAATGTAAAGATTTGCTTGTTTCTTTACTAAAAGCAATTTTTGGATGTCATCTTGTGCTTTGAGAAACACTGATCAACACTTTCTGACATTTTATAGCCTAATCAGCTAATGGATTGCTAAAATAAATCAACAATGAAAATAGTGGCTACTATCCTCAAGTCAAGAGCAGCTAATGGGAAAGGCAAAGAGACATTATATCAAAATATTTTGTGACGCTTAACTCCTGCAGAGGCTTATTACTCAATAGAGCTCCTCTCTTAGATATTTATGTCACTTAAGGGCCTCTTTAATCTGTGTCTGGGAACGTCCCTGATCGCTGAGAAAGGTCAATAGTGAGCAAATACATTTCTTAATGTGTCGCATTCAGATGAGCTGTCTTGGAGCTACAGGTGCAGAGGTTCTGGTACTTCAAAGCCAGTTAGAAATGAAGGCCATGACAATACATTTTATAAAGAAGTTTAGCAACAATAAAACATATAGGCCACCTTGGGTCAGGCTTTCAGAGAAATAATGTGTGAAAGAGGCACCTCCTGAATCAGTGAGCCAAGGGATGTCTTTTGTTCTCTTTGGGCTGAGGTGAGGTCTGTCTCAGACGAGGATTATCCCAGGCTGCGAAGAGAATGCCCCTTTCCAGGGTCCAGTCATGCAGTGCATGATCTATTGTGGGCACTAATCAGACGCTGTAGACATTTGCATATCAGTAGTGATCTCAGCCATGTCTGGGCAAGATGTGTTATTTGGTTAAAGGAATAAAAGGTGCTTTACAGACTGTCTGTGCAGCACTCTGCCAAGATCTCCGGTCCTCCACTAATGACTCATTTCCTTTCTTCAGTTACAATTTGACATCATGTAAAAAGACAAAAAGGTCATGAATCAAGTGAACGCCAGTCAGATTGAGCTTTGCATTTTGTAGCTATGACTATGAGTGCCAACTCCACCTCAAGCCTCTTCAGTGTGTGTGTGTGTGCGCAGGATGTCCTCTGACACCGGAAGCCTCTTTTAAAAGTCAGTGGAAGAGTGGTTGGGGTGGTGTGGTGCGGCAGTCAGGGGCTGTTATGGTGAGCCGCAGAGCAGGTCCGACCCAGCGTGTCACTTCTGATGCTTCTCCTCCTCTCTCTGTTCCTTTTCCATCCAACCTGTTTGCATGTCTCTGTCAGCGCCGGCTGAGGAGCTCGTGTTCAGCACACAGTGAACTCATTGACCCCCAGCTCTGCCGGCAAAAACATCTCACTCTGTCACCCTCCCCATCTTTGCTTCGAACTCCGTAACCTCCCCTGACTTTCTTTTCAGTAAAAGAATTCTCATCTGTGCACAGCCGTCTGCCTTCAGTCCATGCTGACGTACGGTTTTGAGGTTGCAGTGGTGGTTCAGCGCTTTTCTAGGTCGACAGATGTCCAGAAAAAATACTTTAAAATGCTTTGTTGTGTTCCTGCAGTTATTCTGGATTATTCAGCTGTTTAGTTTTTCTTAACGTACATCAATAAACTATTTTTCTTTGAGAACGTATTCATATTAAAATAAGTGATTCAGCAATAACGTTGAATAAGAAGATGTAATTCTGTTAATACAATATGAGTTATGTTCTTGCCAAAAGCAGAGCCTTGACCCAAGACCAGCATTTCAGAGACTCTCTCAGACAATCCATCTATTGTTTTCAATGTGAGTGTCTTTATCTCCATGCTTCTTATATCCCTGTTGGATCCTGTGGTTGAGGACATCTGGCTGTACGAACTGCAGGGAGCTGCTTTGTCGTTCACATGGGTATTTAGGGGAAATTCCCTTCTGGTACATCTTGTGCTGCACTTGAGCCTTTTATTGTGCCCACCATCCAGCTCAGCATGTTGCATATTAGGTCCACAGTTTGTCCAGAGAGACCAGACTGTACAGTATGTCTGTGTCCTGTATGATCGTCTCTCTGACCCTCAACCGACGCTGTTTTTCTTCCTGAAAGAACCGCCGCAGGAGGCGCCGCCGTGTCCTTTTTAGGGTTCATAACATAGCATTAGGGGAAAATGGACTGAATGAGGCTTTAGGTGTACACATGTTAGGATAAATATGACCACATGCAACAAAAAAAAGGAGTGCGTTGGTTAAAATCAAAGCAAATGAGCTCCTTCAGTAGCATAGTTGTCAAAGTCTGAAACACTGGATTTTTATAGACATGTAATGCAGCTGAGAGGATTTTGATTTGTTTTTTTTTTCAATAGTTTGTCTTTTAAACCTAAAATTCTTTTCTTAATGTTCTTTTCATTTTGGAGCAAAGAGAGTAGCGTAGCATTTATTTTCTGTACTTTTTTCACTTCCCTTCAATAAATTCGTGTCTTTGGAGGAACAGATATTTAAAGTGTCAACCAACAAGTTGCCCAAAAATAATCTTTAGAACATCAGTCTCTTTTTAGGTCTCAAGCTTTCACACTGCTGTGATGTTTCTGTGACAAACGATTGGCTCTCTTCCCATTCAGAACTCCATCAGGCACAACTTGTCCCTGCACAGCCGCTTTGTTCGCATACAGAACGAGGGAACAGGAAAAAGCTCCTGGTGGATGCTGAACCCAGAAGGAGGAAAGAATGGAAAGTCGCCTCGACGCAGAGCTGCCTCCATGGACAACAACAATAAGTTCGTCAAGAGCAAAGGAAGGGCCACAAAGAAAAAGGTACAGTGTGTTTCTATAATTAACATCCATAGATATTTCGGCCACGTGTTTTTTCGTTTCCAAATCTGCTGACCCAAGATATGCTTTAGTGATTGTTAATAATACACTGGTGGTGTTATGTCAGCCTGTTAGAGCTTTTTATGTTTTCTATCCCTAGATGGCTCTACAGGAAGGGGTTGAGGGAGGAGCAGGCAGCCCTGGATCCCAGTACGCTAACTGGCTGGGGAGTCCAAACTCCCACAGTAACGAGGACTTTGAAGCCTGGAGCTCCTTTAGGACCCGGACCAGCTCTGACGCCAGTACTCTGAGCGGTCGTCGTTCACCTTTCCCCTCTGAGCAGGATGACCTGGGTGAGCCTGATGGCCACATGATGTATCCTGGAGCAGCGAGTACCAAGATAACCTCCACCCTGCCCAGCCTGTCAGAGGTGGCTGGATCCGTGGGCCAGCATGGCTCAGAAATCGTCATGGAGAGTCTGCTGGATAACCTGAACCTGCTGTCTCCTAAGACCCCTCAGCTCGGCTCTGAGTCCACGCATTCCTCAAATGCTGCCATGCTTCAGAGTAGCCCCTACAGCTCCACTGGCCTGACCCCACGGCCACAGCAGGACTACCACAAGTGCATGTACGGCCCGGTGAGGATGAACTCGCTGTCCCCTGTTCCCATGCAGACACTTCCAGAGAACAAGCCGGGCTTTGTGGCTTATGAGAACCAGTATATCTCCCCAGCTGGCCTCCTCAAAGAGCTGCTGACCACAGAGGCAGACACCAGTAGGGACATGATGCCCTCCAGGGATACACTGGTGTCAGAGGTTGGACGGGGAAGTTGCCTAATGCCTGCTTACAGCAGCCAGAGCCATGTGAGGGGTCATAATGGGGTAAAAATGATGAATCCACCTCAGAGTCACCCAGTTCCTCATGTAAACCCACAAGCTATACATAGTCAGGGTCCTGCTGCCTCACGAGACTTGAATAGCTGCAACATGATACCCCTGACGAGTCTGACTAGTCTTTCAGGGGCCCCTCCTCGGATGACTAACCTGAGGACGTGCATGCAGGTGCCCCGAGGACATCCACCACACAGTCTCGACGTCTCAGCGAGCTACAGCAGTAGCAGCAGCGGCAGCAGCAGCAGTTACAGGGAACTGAACTCAGTTCACCCACACGGTCATCATCAGGAGCGGCTGCCCAGTGACCTGGACAGCGTGTCCATCGAGAGGTTCGAGTGTGACCTGGAGTCCGTCCTCCATGACACCCTCATGGACGGCGGGGCGCTGGACTTTAATTTTGACCCCGCAGCCGGCCCTCATGGGTTTTCTCAGAGGGTGAAGACGACCACACACAGCTGGGTGTCAGGCTAGGACACCTGGTGCATCTCAAGCTGGTGAAACTGACAATTAGTCCGGCAGTAAGTACATACAATATACATATCAAAACTGCAACATATTCAGTGTCCTCCGAAGGTTTCTTATCTTTGTGCTTTTTTTCGGTCTCCATCACAGGTTTTTCCCAACATCACTCCACTGCTCACCTTCAGTCAGAGACTGACAATATAAATCCAAAGACGACACCAACACCATCGCTCTCCACAGACCATGTGACACAAAGTTATTTTCAAAAATGTACAACTTGAGTTGCACAGTCATGTTAATACTTTACTTTAGGAGTAAAAGGAAGAAGTTTATCATTCAGATCCTGATGCTGAAATAGGACAGAACATACCAGCACAGAGACAAACCTGCATTAGCCTTGTTTACAACTGTCTGCTAAAAACTGGAAATATGCATTTTATTTTTAATTGCTGAGTCATGGCAGATAAAAATATATATTATAGTAGATTGCACAAAGCAGACCACACTGTCTGGGTGACAACAAAGAGACCTTAAATAACCTCTCTAAATGTATGATTTGTGGTCAGTCTGACATTTGGCCAACGCTGTACCTTTCATTTTAGAACTGTATTTTGCAGCAGTCAGTTGTCCCTCCTGTGGAACTTTGAGCTTGCCACATTCAGGTGAAAGAAGCCAGTATACTGTCAGGGTAGGGATCAGAGAGTACACAATACGATAATATCATAATAATAACGGTATCACAATACAGTGATTTTGTTTAGTACATTGCAAGAAAGTCTTCAGCAACACATCAGGATATCTGTGTAACTGAAGATGAGAAAACACCCCTAAAAAGGCAAAAAGCAGGAATTACAAATGTATTCACTGCATTGTAGTGTCAGTTCAGTTATTTGCTCTCTGACTTGTTTCTCCCCACTTTCTGGCATTTGAAGTTTTCACTTTATTGAACATTAGCTAACTTCAGCTCACTTCACCGTCATTCTTTTTGGAAGCACCACCATGAGCAGCCATGAAATAGTTAGTTATGGAAATCTGTTTAGGGTTAACTCATCAAGCAGTGGGATTTGGTCCAGTGTTTAAATTGTAAACAGAATTTGAAAATGGCTTTTAAATCTTAAGAGGTCTTGATAGTGTGTTTCAGCAAACTAAATGTCTGTCAGAGGTGATGTTCTATGTGATCAGTGAGAAATTTCATCTTACAAAGCTTAGGTTTACATTTAGAAGGCCTTTTGATCACACACTTTAGTGAAATAATCAGGCTGAAACTGAAACCATATAAAGTGGTCTATCATCTGCATAGAGAGGCATATTACCTTTACTGAAATAGTAAACTTAATACCCAAGAAGACATGGAGTGTGACAACAAGCTATGTGCATGAATTTACAACAACAGATCGCAAATTATGAATGAAATAACAGTAAATTCTGAAAATATTCTCATTCGCATACACACAGTTCAGATGTTTATAGTCAGACGTGGCGGTACAGTGCCAGAAAATGCAGCTCTCCAGTGGAATATCAGCCATATCTCCTCCTTTGAACCTCCATCAGACGTCCTTAGAGGCCCCGAAATGATTTCAATCTCTGACTAAAATGAACTCATCAATCATATACTGTATGAAGGTATTTATTTATGTTTTTACTTTGTTGTTGCTGGATGATTCATGCTTTGTACTTTGTAAGCTTCTAAAAGTATATGCACTTGCTGTGTACAATGTATGCACTGTTCTGAAGTTACTGTTTGTTTTTTCTTTTACATAAAACTAATTTCTAAGAAGGACATTACAGATACAGTAGAGATGTTGCCTTCCAAGAACAGTTTACTGAAAGGGTTAGGGTTAGGGTTTTATATTGATCTCAATCATTGAAAATCCCCTTTGTGAATATTCTTAGTTACGTTTAGGGTTGTTTAGGAAATGTGGGTGTTTGGGAACACCTGTGAAGAATAATGTTACTCAAGTTATTTGCCCTTTTTGAACTTTTTAGAGTAGTTGTGAAAATATTTTAGCTCAAGTCAAGGATGACATGAACCTCTGTAAATTCTAGAACGGAAATCTTTCCAAAATCATATCGGATAAACTAGTATGTGAAATACATCATGGCTTTCAGGGGACTGGTATTTTTCATTTTTGATGGTCAGAAATACATGTATGCTATTTATAAAACAGTTGATTTAGCTTTTATTTATCGTTATTCCTATTAATATGAATCATAGAAAAAACAGATGAAAAGCAGCCGATGCTGTCTGTTTTAGGCACCATGAAGGGTAAGGTTTGCTCTTCCGTTTTGTTGTATGAGGGTTGTAAGAATCCTATACTGATAATTTTACGAATGACCCGTGATGATAACGATAAAGGAAAGTAGAAATGCATGGTAGAAATAGTCAATAGTTTAGAACCCCTCCCCCCAAAAATTCTCAAATCATGTTTTTAGAGGAGCTCGTGTCCTATTCAGAAAAAAATACGCCATCAGTTTGAAATCAAAACTGTTTTCATCACTTTCCGATAAAGGGATGTTTTGGAGAAACGGGGGATTTTCACCTGACTTATGCCATGAGAGCAGATGCGAATGGAAACGCTGATGGTGAGAGCCTGAGCTGACTGGAAATAGATGATGGTCTGTTAAGTGTAACCAACATAGCAAAGGGTTTGCTTGCGATTTACCTCTAAGCAGCTACGGTTGTTACGCACCAAAGACGTATTCACTCTACCAAACACATTCAGAGACGGTGTGCTAATTCACTGTGCCTACACATCTCAGATTTATAATGTTGTACATATTATTTTCTGCCGTAATACATTTTTGTATGTGAGTTCTGAAGGCCTTGTTACTCGTCGTCGTGCTGAAACATTATACTGTATGTATGACTGTGTTAGACATGGATGTTTACATATCTCAGTCCAAACTATATCAATAAATATATGAACACTCATACCTCAAAATATTTTACCTCTGAAGTGTTGAAGGGATCTTTCCTGCCATTTTCCTCAGTGAGTAATGTATTGATTTTGTCTTTAATTCTGACATATGATTTGTACATATTATTTTTTGTCTTTTTCATATTTGGTTAATGTTGAAACCAGTGATATTTGGACCTATTCAGAGCGACGCTCCATCTGTATTTACCTTTCTAATGTTTTCTTGTGCTTGAGGATTATAGCCATTAGAATATAGTAAATGTTACATGACAGCAGAGTAAATGATTTTAAGTCAATCGTGAATTTGTGTGAAATTGTATATTTTGAAAGACTTTTTTTTTAAAAAAAAGAAAGAAATGTCTCCTCATTTGTCATCTGACTAAACTCATTGAAAGGCATTCTGTAAAAAGAATTGAATTATGTTGTGGTATAAAAGCACTACTTCTCTAGTTACTGAACTGTAATGAAGACAAATATGTGACGGGACCATTTTGACGTATAGTTATCTTGCACAAATAGGATTTAGTTGAGAAGTGCTTGAGCCTGTTGCATTTCATTAGGAAAAAGAAAGTATATGGCATTTTTATACGTAGCCTCTAACATTACACAAATGATGAGACACAATCATGTGCAAACTTTTTCAGGAAATACAGACTTATGTTGTCTTTGATACCCACGTCCAGGCGTTTTTGAACGAATGCAGTTTTTCTATATATCCTGTTGAATGCATAAATCGTCATTTGCAATTAAAGGACATAAACAAAACTGAAGTTGTGTATTTTTGGGGGGTTTGCTGACAAATGTTCCTTCACTTTTCAGTGTTACTACAACACAATATTTTGTAAGTTGTCTTCAGATCTCCCTAAAAAGGGTTTTCTTCAGAAATGCACCACAAAGTACAGACAAGTGAGAAATTAGAAGTAACACCTTAACTCCTAACCCCTACACTGAGGCAATGTGTTGCCCCTGTTATACTGTGGGGGCATTTTGTTAGCATGTTTGGGTCTCTGAAAACCAATACAAAGTTGTTCTGAGTTTTATTAATCCATCCTGATGGGAGTGGTCTGTAGAAGGCACGAGGGCTCACTGAATGGTTTCATCAAGATAATGTGAAACCATGTGGCTTCCGCGGTAACCAGACCTCAACCCAACTGAACATCTTTTGGAAATTTTAGACCAACGTGTTTGAGAGCTCTCTCCATCAAAACACCGAATGATGGAAAATCTTTTAGAGCAATGATGTTCATCCCTCCAGAAGAGTTCCAGAGGAAATAATGCTAAGCTTTATTGAAGCTTCTTTTGGTGGCACAACACCTGACAAAGACACTTTATGGGGGTTTTTCCCTTTATTTGTCACTCACCTGCATGTCAGCATGGTGTTGGACCACTGATGTATGGTTATTTTCATAAGATACAATAAATTCTGCCATTTTTTTTACACTTAGAGACAGACAACCAAGCACACTCACATTCACACCTACAGACAATTTAGAATCACCAGTTAACCTCAACATGTTTTTGGACTGTGGGAGGAAGCTGGAGAACCCGGAGAGAACCCACGCTGCATGGAAAGAACATGCAAACTCCACGCAGAAAGATCCTGGGTGTCCTCACCGGGATGCGAACCGGGGATTTTCTAGCTGCCAGTGTGAACCACTGAGCCACCTTGCAGCCCTCTAAAATATGTAACATATGTAACATGTCCATATGGTGGTTTTTAGTGTTTCCACCTTGAACCTGCAGTGTACTAATGACGGTCTCAAACATACAGATTCAGACTTTCAGGGTTTCCTACGTAACAATCCAAGAAATCAGTTCTGTTTACTTGCAGGGTGGAGCTTTCTGTGCCATGATTCTGCTGATCTTGTATGGCTGTATTACTCTAACATTAGAACTTGCCGTTGTATAGCACAGAGTAGTTCTACAGTGTTAGAGTTAAAGTAGGTGAGCTGGTGTGCTTGAGGGTGGGCGGAGAAAGAGGCAGGGACTTCTTAAATCTCCACATTTTAGAGAAGACAATCATGTAGAGGTAAATCTAAGCTTTATAAAGGCATGAAAGGATTATTTTCATGGGGAAAAAAGTCCAAATATATCATTTTTGATACATAGAGGCGAGTTTTGGAGGTTTAATTAACGACTAATGGCTAAAAAGTTAGTTGTTGTTGTTGTTGTTGTAATTTGACATCAACCCCTATTTCAGTCTTCAGAGTCTTTGGCGAGTTCTTTGCTGTATTGTTTAGTAGGTTTCTGAGGAAAGCAACACCGTACCTTTTAAAAATAAACTTGACCTTCCGTGACTTGAAGTTCTTAATCACATCCAGAACATTGAAAGCAGTGATTCAGATTGTGAGGAATGAGGCTCGTGCAGGATGGACACCCGTCATTAAGCACACATGCTGCCCACCTGCTTCTACCCAGACTCTCCGAGGTCACGTCAGGTCACACAGATCACCAAGTGCTTCGGTTCAGGGTCACTTGTGCTGTTTTTTTGTGATGTGAAACAACAAAACAACAGATTGCACATATGAAGGATGCCTATGTTCTTCTGTTGTCCTTGAACAACCCTAATCTTTTTCTCCTGATGTGTGAGACGGCTATGAGTCACGCAGCCACGATAGTTCACTGCAGGCTTCAATAAGTGTATCAATCAGGAAGCCAGAATTAACACCACGATCACTACCAGCGATAGACTCATCACTCTTACTCTGCTTGACTTCTGTTAATGATAAGCTCATTAATGCTAAAGATTGGATCAGTGCTGATTGCCTGAACTAGCAAGCATCGTTTACATTCGTAGCCTGAATAAATGGGCTTTCTGCAGTGAGAGCAAACCGCAGAGTCACGCAGCCTTTATCCCAACAGACATCTGAGCATCTCCTCGTGGTAAGCGCAATAAATGAATGAAATGAGCTGTTGTTGATTCACATAATATTAGCTAAAAAGAAATAGTTTCCAGGTTATCAACCCCGGGGCAGAACCACAGTTAAAAGCTATTTTGTTCACCGCAACTTTTGATCACTATCGGAGCACATTTTCATTCCTTCCTTCTGTGACTCATTCAGTCTCCATTTGGGAGTTTAATTCTAGGATATTTAATAGAAAGTGCGCATCAGTGGGGCAGAAAATTAAACATTTCCCAGGTAGTATAATAGGATAACTGTTAGTTGGAATTGAATGAGGCTCTCTTGTGCTTATTAAACATGGCTGTACAACTATGTTCTCGACGCAATAGGATTTCTACCTGTTCCAAAAGGCTACACTCAAAGTTAGAGTGAAAAACTGCTGTCACGCCTCCCTATGTGGCTTTGTAGTGCATGAATCATACAACTGAGCATACTGCTGGACATCTAAGGACAGTGTTCCCATGACGTTATTCACACACAAAGTGACAGAAGCAGTTGCGCGAAGACTAAAAAACATCCTTCATGCTTTCTCGATAATCAGTCGGTGCATGAAGCGGTAATGACTGTTTCGAAACGTTTCAAATTTTGTTGGCTGCAGACATCGATTCTGCAGCCAGAAAGCTTCTGACCAGGCACGCACTTCCTTTGAATCATTGTGAGTCGTTCACAGACCTCACACTAGTCTGTGGGAACCGCGCTGGGTTGAATCACACTGCATTCAACTGGGTGTTAAAGAGCTATTTGTGGGAAACAGAAAGAGAAATTTAGAATGAATTTTTATTCTCATTGATTGGTTTCTTGATCTTCCTCTGTTAAACTTACTTCTACATTGAATCTACACAGATGCTATGCTGTGGCCTACACAAGTGACCTGTACCGCTGTGAGCATGTGTACTGGTGTGTCTGTGTCGCTCTGCACTTACACAACTAAAACAGCATTACAAGTTTCGCCTTGTAGTTCCAACAATGACCTCTGAAACTGAAAGGATAAGATTGAAGTTGAAGCTAATAAATGTTCAATAGCAACCGCAATTACTGCAACACGAAACAGAGATAAGATGTTTGAACTGATTGAGTCTATTTGCAGATTCTTAAAGTGGTAAAAAGTAGAAATCAGGATACAGCTACTGGCAGAATACTGGCTTTTGTGTTTGCATTATCAGCAAACCAGATATATCTGCAGCTTATTGCATGCTACATGTTGTTTTACAGACACATTAAGTTTGTGCAAATCAATATGTTGTTGTACGGTACACTGATATGACGTACCTACAGCATAGATTCAAGTCAAGTTTTACACTACAAATTTAGAAAAAAATGATGTGTTAATTTAATTCTGTTACTTTAATCCTCACATATAACATCATCATTCCCGAAAATCAGTATTTGCCCAAGAAATCCTGCATCAGCCATAGTCTAGTATAAAGCTAAAGTCCTTTGCTCCATATCAGAAATCCACTTTAATAATCATTTAATTTAACAGCTAATGAAAACTCGGGATAATAATGCGGTCCTTGTAAACAACACCCGAAGGCGAAGAAAACAACCACAAGACTTTTAAGGTACGATCATAAAATGGGCATAGATCAGCAGATTAATCAGATGATTAGAGTTCAGTGCAACACTTAAATTATTGGGTTTTCACGGTGCTTAGACGAGTTTCGAACAGTCAGACCATGAAAAGGCTGCAACCCAAGACGACCCACGATTACAGAACTAACTTCACGAAACTGAAAAGATCTTTAAAATGCGGTAAGTGTGAGTAAATCGTAAATTAGTCAACTTCCACGCGTCCTACTTTTTGCCATCTGAAGTATACGCTGTATGTAACACGAAATAAGCCCAGTTACTAGGAAGCATTGCAGTATATCTAATTAAAATACCAAATGGAACAGAACGGAAAACAGGTCATCCTCATGACAAATTTATTCTCACTTTGCTTCTTATGAATGTGACTAACTTGATGCTGTCAGTGATAACAGGTCCATTTCCTGCGTGAAATGAGGCCACGTCGCAGCTATAGGCGGCATACAGCGATGTTTAATGTCTTCAGCTTTGATGATTGGTTTAAGGCAGCAGAGTCATTGTCAAGTCACAATAATTTAAATTTATCTGATAATGGCAGTGTTGCCTTTAATTATTCAACAACAATTAAGATTGTTGGCTTATTTCTGATTGTGTGACACCTTTTACATGTCGTGTTTCAGGCCTCTCCTGGTAAATAAAGTGTCTTAAGACAAGCAAGCTGGTTGTCTGTGTGAGGTTCAGTGAACAAAGGCTGTCATTTGTTCATTTGACTGGGTCACGTTTTGTCAGTCTTGTTGGTTACAAAATGCTCTCAACATATTTACGACCTCACTCTCAACTTGCTCTGAAGATCAAGTGGGACGTATAGAAAAAAAATGTAGATGTTTTGGGAAATACCCTTTTTTTTAAATTTCCGTGCCAAGAGGAACTACATGTACAGACAGAATTTTTGAGGTGGCAAAGCTGCATAGGAAGCTGATGGAAAGACTCAATTAGGTGCATTGTACTGAAGGGGAAGGAACATCCACAGGAGTTCAGAATGTTGAGCAAAAAGCTCTCTTGTATCCAGGGGTTTTATGAATCTGTTTCATAAATGTACAGAAACAAGAGGAAGGAGAGAGACGGGGGGGTAACATAACATACAGTAGGCTCAGCATTCTCCCCCTGTTCACTCTGACTCTGTTTTCTCTTTAGAAACACATTAGGTGCATTTCCAAACCAATTAGTGTTAAATGGAAGTGATTTTCGAAGCCCTCCAACACCAACTCTGCTCCAACGCTGCCTTTCCGACTGCACTGCTCGACAGTTCAGCACCTGTTGACACATAAACGTGAA